TGGAAAAAATATCCTCAAGTGAGGATTTAAAAAAAAAATCAAATCAAGTCTGTTTTCATAGAAAACCAAATTACTCTAAGCTAAAAATGCATCGATAGGGAAAGGTCCCTGTTCCCCAGCTCCAGCGTCCTGGGGTTCCCAGGAGGGCGGGCGTTGAGCTCAGGTGTCCCGTCATTCTGCTTGTGGCCACCAGGGGGCAGCGCAGCGTCGGTCAGGGCACCACCTTGAGCTCTGACAGTTCATTCCCGGGGCCTCTGGTTTCCTTCGCCCAGGGACCGCCTACACCTGCCTGGAAGCTGCGGCCGGGCGGGCGCTGCTCCGCCAGCACATGGATGTCACGGGCGAGGAGAACCCCCTGAACAAGCTGCGGGTGAAGATTGAACCAGGTCCAGAAGGCCCCTCTGTGTGACACCCCCTCCCCAAAATGCACATTGGTCAGTGGGCTCCCAGGACACACCCTGGGGAGCGGGGCCAGACCGCCCTTGGGGCTGGGTCTGTGCGCCCTCGCTGACTGTACCACCCGGTGGGTGCAGATGTCAGGCCCGTGGGTCTGACCTGAACGGAGTGTCACCCTCACCTACCGAGAGTGAGAGCACCGAACCAGCCCAGCGACTCGTCCAGGGTCTGGTGCTCTCATTTCCTTGAATTCCTCTTTATTTCCACGAGTGACTAACCTCAAACCTTTTCATGGAATTGAAGTTCATGGCCCTTGGTGCCGTGCTCTAGAGAGTGAGCTTCCCGTCGACTCGGGCTTGCTTATTTTAGGCTGGGACGTTGTAGAACAGCCGGTTCGGGGAGCGGAGGGGAGTGGAGGTGGTGCCCGGTGGGGCTGCAGAGGCAGTGAGGGTCCCAGGGCAAGGAGACTGGAGCGTGGGTGTCTGTCCTCCGGTTAGGTCCACGGTTAATGGCCCTTTAAAGTCCCCTTTGAGGTGCCTGAGGGAGGCCAGGGAGGGCCTGGGGTCCTGCCTCCCTGTCCCAGGGCAGCTGATCCGACCTCAGTCACTCAGTGAGCTGGAGCCCGGGAACCACTGTGAAGGTGACAGGTTGCGAATGCTTAGACCTGGTCTGCTGCCCTCTGCCAGGTGTTGACCCGGACGACACCTACAACGAGACCCCCTACGAGAAAGGCTTCTGCTTTGTCTCCTACCTGGCCCACTTGGTGGGCGATCAGGATCAGTTTGACGCGTTTCTCAAGGTATCCACTCGGGGCAGGTGGGGTGTGGCCAGGCCGGAGCACAGAACAGGAGCCGGGTATGGGGCACGAGGGGTTGGAGGAAGCTTGTGGGACAGAGGGAGCCTCCCCATCTCGGTACCCTGGTCAGCTGAGACCTTCCTCCTCACAGGCCTACGTCAATGAGTTTAAATTCCAAAGCATCATAGCGGAAGACCTTTTGGAATTCTACCTGGAGTACTTCCCTGAGCTGAAGCAAAAGAGAGTGGACACCATTCCAGGTGAGCAGAGGGGCCCCCCCAGGCTGGAGGAGACAGACAGCTCCCCCTGGTTTGTGTCCGGACGGACGAGGTGGGGCTGGAAGACACTGTATCCAAGTCTTCCAGCAGGTGGCTCTCGGGCGCAGACCCAAGTCCCAGACTCCCTTCCGCAGAATGAGCCTCTTGAACCTGGACCACAGGCTCACACCCTGGGCTCCACCCTGGGGCCCACAGGGGGCAGTAGTGGCCGCAGCCCTGCTGGGGAGCAGGGAGTTGCCTCATGAGGCCTGGGAGAGGGGGGAGTCCCAGGGCTGCCCAAGAGAGTGGAGACCCGTCCCCTCATAGACGAGGGCCTGTTAGACACAGCCCCTTCCCGCGGTGAGTCCTGAGTCACCCGTGGTGGGTTTGGTGGAGGCAGCGCCCCCAACAGCAGGTTGGCTCAGGCCTCTGCCTCCAGGCCCTCATTTCAAGGTAAGGAGCCTCTGTGGCTGTGAGAGCTAATAATTACTACGGGATTGCTCTGCCCGGCCTCATGCTGAGCTCCCAACCGGTGCCTGTGGGTTTAATCTTCATCACTGCCGACTGAGGCAGGGCCTCTCCCCCATTTTACATAAAACAGGTGCAGAGAGGCGAGGTGACGTGCCCGCTTCCAGCTGGCGGGTGGTGGAGCCGGGGTGGGACCGCAGGAGCCCAGGCCCGGGGCTCGCGAGTCTCAGCACCAGGCTGTGGTCACAGAGGGGAAGCGTGGATGCCCCCGTCTACTTGGTGCATTGACTGGGAGGTGGCGACACTCTGACAGCATCTCCTCCGCAGGGTTCGAGTTTGATTGCTGGCTGAACACCTCGGGCTGGCCACCGTATCTCCCCGATCTGTCCCCTGGGGACTTACTCATGAAGCCTGCGGAAGAGCTGGCCCAGCTGTGGGTGGCGAAGGAGCTGGACATGAAGGCCATCGAGGCCGTGGCCATCTCCTCCTGGAAGACCTACCAGCTGGTTTACTTTCTAGACAAGATCCTTCAGAAATCCCCTCTGCCTCCTGGTAAGAGAAGCGGGTGATTTCTTCAACATGGACAGTCGAGGCTCCCGTGGGCCCAGCTCTGTGCTGGGTGAGAGGGAGACTCAGAGAAAAGTCCGGACACTCGCCCCTGGGCAATGGCCAGGTGTCCGAGGGAGGGCAGCAGGTGGACACAGCTGCTGCGCAGGGAATGTAGGTCACACTTGGGATGCCCGGGGTTGACACAAGCCACTGGTAACCAGTCACCGGTAACCTGTTTCTCTGCTAGACTAACCGGGGGGTCACTCCGTAAGGTATTACGTGTCTAATCACCGTGTTGTACACCTGAAGGCAGTGTGATGGATGATAATTGTCACTGAAAAATAAAAACAGCCCAGCCGGTGTGGCTCAGAGGTTGAGCATCGACCTATGAACCAGGAGGTCATAGTTCAATTCCCAGGCTCGATCCCCAGTAGGGGGCGCTCAGGAAGCAGCTGATCCATGACTCTCTCATCATTGATGTTTCTATCTCTCTCTGAAATCATTGAAGATACAATTTATATATATATATATATACACATATATATTATTTAGAAAAATTTGGACCCATTCCTCTTTCCAGGGAACGTGAAGAAGCTGGGAGAGATGTACCCAAAGATCTCGAGCGCCAGCAACGCTGAACTGCGGCTGCGCTGGGGCCAGATTGTCCTTAAGAACGACCACCAGGAGGACTTCTGGAAGGTGAAGGGCTTCCTGCAGAGTCAGGTGGGCATCCCTCCCGCCCCAGCCTACAGGCCCGCAGCTTGCCTGGTGGTCCTGTGGGTAGAGCCTCGGCCTCAGCACCCTTCCCTGGACGGGGCGTGGGGAGGTGAATACGGGAGGATCTGCCAACAGCCCTGTTCTGAGGTGTGGCCGGGGACTGGTGGCCGTGTTGCCCTGGGGAAGAAGCCAGCAGAGCTCACCCCAACCTGGGAGGGGGTGATGCAGACACCCGTCTCAGGAGTGACCTTGAGGTTGTAGTCCTCATGCCCCGGGGGAGGTTTGGACACCTGCTGCATCTCAGGTCACCCAGGGGTGCTGCCCTGCTGGGGACAGGCTAGGGGCTCTTAGGTAACCGTGCTCAATTCCAGAGCAGGGTGGGAGGGGGCTGGAGGTAGAGCCGTGCTCAGGTCTCCCCAGCTGTGTCGTGGCAGCCGAGCCCTTGCTTGGAGGTCCCTAGCCCACTGAGGCTCCGCCAAACCTCTGGGCGTCAGGGACTTGGGAACTTGCCTTGATGTGCTTTTGGGTTCCGGGCTTTCGGCGCAGCAGCAGTCAGACCTTCCGTGTTCCCCGATTTGCTCTGAGCCTGTGCTGTGTGCGGCCAGCTTGGTGGCCATCCACTGACGGCTTTCTGGGCATGTGGAGCCCCCCTGTTCGGTTGGGTGTGGGCATCCCTGCTCTGCCCTGGATTGGGGTGAACACCCACATCTCTGTGTGTGGACCTCTGGCCCCGAGACGATGCCGCAGTGAGCGAGCTCGTGTCTGGGAGACTCCTCACTCAGGCCCTTGGGCACCTGCCTCGGCTGCCTGAGACGGGTCCCGGGCAGGGACTGGACAGACCCCGGAGCAGGCTGCATAGGCCACGCGCGTGTCTCTTGCAGGGGAAGCAGAAGTACACCCTCCCGCTGTACCACGCCATGATGAGTGGCAGCGAGGCGGCCCGCGCCCTCGCCAAGGAGACCTTCGCGGCCACCACCTCCCAGCTGCACAGCAATGTCGTACACTACGTCCAGCAGATTGTGGCACCCAAGGACACCTAGAAGCCCATCCCTGTGTGCCCTTGGCCTCTACCTCCTCTCACTCTGCGGAATAATCAGAACGATCAATCCCAAATCCCTGTTCTCCGGTCCACTCCCCAAGTTTGTGTCCCTCGATGGTCTGTCTGTCCTCTGGGTTTTGTGTTTGTGACTCGTGGGGACTGCTGTGGACCCCAGAGACTCCCACGGCCCTCAGTGCCCGTGCTGCTCCGTGGGGCAGGTCTCCCCCCACTTGAGCGTCAGGGGAGGGGGAAGAGCAGAGAGTCCTTTTCATCTCTGGCTGATTCTTAAAGTTCTATGCAAATGGCTCATTCAGGTAATTCTTTTTTCAGGTTTAATCTGTATTTTAATAAATCTTTTTAAATGAAAAGTGTTTAAGTTAGAGGTGTGGATTGAGTGGCTGCGAAATTTCTTCCCGCAGGTGTCCTTCCACAGGGTGGGGACAGTGCTCTTGACAGTGCACAGTGAGGCTGTGCCCTGCGCAGGCGACTGTGGGGAGGGTCTCAGGAAGGCCCTGGAAACTTCTCCCCACCCAACCCACCCTCC